AACACTGCTGCAAACTCTGCCGAGGAGAGCGAACCGTCAGGATCCGGGTACGCACCGCATCCCTCAGCCTCACCAAGTCCCCCAAGCAGGAGCGCAGAGCAACCCGAATCCTCAGACACAGGTGAGAGTCCCGGTCTGCTCCTGCAGGGGTTCGTGGGTGCAGTTTATTAATTAGATCTGTATTGAAGTACCTCTGATTTGGGGCATTTTGTTTCTGCTAAAACTGGCTGAAAAGCTTCCTACCCAAAGCAGCCAGTGCTTCGATAGAGAATGCCGGCCACTGAGGGACCCTTTTCCATCCACCCCTCCTCAGCCCTGGAAAAGGCACAGGTGAGCAGCAGGAGTTTCTCAGCAATCCAGAGATTTCATTTCTCATGCTACATCAAACTTGGTAGATGTGGTATTGCCATAGCAACTTGAGACCCCAACTGGAATCCTGGTAATCCTTAAAAAAACCCAAACCAACCAACTTTGGCTCACCTTTTTATTCCCCTTCACTATCTACCCCTAACTTTCCATTAATGTTTTTATTTCACCACAAGAGTTCTCCTGCCTGAAGACATTTTTGTGAAGAAGAATGCTTTGAAATACATTTTGCATAATGCAGACTATATTGTACAACAATAAACTTATGAAACGGATGCTACTGAGTCCCGAGGCAGATCCCAAGGTCCACACGCAGTGGACAGAGTGGAGCCGGGCCCTGCAATCCACCCGAAGCAGCTGCAGGTTGACAGAGGCCGTCGAGGCCATCTGAGGCTGCGTGGGCTCTGCAGGCTCAGGGCTGCGGGCACTGGGGACGTGGCCAGTCCCGTGAGAGTGCTCGAGCTGCTCCAGAATGAGCCGAGACGAAGGTCGGTACCAGACCAAGCCACAGGGACAGGCCCAGACTCCAGTCCTGCGCTGGTGGCTGAGAAGGCCCACAGAACTTGCACCAGTGCTTCACCCAGTGATATTAAATCTCAGTAGGAACTCATCTTCTCCCATTTAAACATAATTTACAAGAAAGAATATCTTAATTTTATACAGGGCAGTTGGCAGAGTCACCAGCCAAGTGAGGAGGAGCGAGAAAGGGATCAGTCCTTCCCCGCCTGGGCTGGCTTGTTGAGAACAGACCCAAACCAGAGCTTGGAGGAAGGGGTTTGGAGAAGTCCCAAAATCTCTGAATCCCTTCTAGAAGGAAGGCGAACATTATTCTGCATCCCCTGGTATCTCACTGATCTTGTAAGTTCTTGCTGTCTACAAAGCTGTTTCTTGTCTTTTAGATGCGTTGAAGCAGCAGGAGAAAAAAAGAAGCCACAAAAACAGTGCTATAAAAAGGTTCAAGGACTGGCTGGTGCTGCGCTGCCCTCCTGAGATGCGCGAGGTCTGCCAGCTGCCGCCCCAAGACCTGGATCGGTACCTGGCCGCTTTCTACAGCTCCGCAAGGAGACAGAACGGTGCCGAGTTCTCCGCCGGCTCTCTGCAGTTCTTCCAGGGCAGCATAGAGAGGTACCTGAAGGAGCACGGCTACGAGCACAGCGTGGTTAAAGGGCTGGAGTTCAGAGCATCACAGAAAGCCTGGAAACTGAAGTACGAGTACCTCTCTCAAAGGGAGAGAGAGGCAGAGTGGAGCTTTTTGGAGAACCTGACAGACGAAGACGTGGAAGGCCTTTGTGAGAAGGGATTTCTAAGTAAGACAGACCCTCAGGGCTTCCTGAACCTCATGTTCACAAATATCATCAGGGCATTTGGGGCCATCACGCACAGCCAGAGCCATCACCTGTACTGGGGACAGCTGGTGCTGAAGAGTGAGGGGGAGCAGGAGTGTCTGGAGTGGAAGCATGACCTGAGCACAGAGGGAGACACAGGGGAGCTGGGTCCCTGTCTCTTTGCCAAGCCCGACAGCCCCGGTGCTTGCCTGGTTGCCGATTACAAGGAGTACGCCCGCAGGCGGCCACTGGACATGCTGCACGACCATGACCCGCTCTACCTGGTGCCCAAGCCCCTGTGCTCCATCTGGGACCAAGTGTGGTACAGCAGAAAGGCACTGACCAAAGGCAAAATGGAGAAGACCCTGAAAGTCATTATCCAGCAAGTGAGAGCATCCACAAAGAAGTCCAAGAAATGATGGGATCCGCTGGGTTTCGGCTGTGCCACTGTTTGGCAGGAGCGTGCTGCAGCCTCTGAAAGGCTCAGGTGGCCACAGGTTGAGGATGTCCTTCTCTTAGGTTTCACCTCCCTACACCCACATTACACGTTTGCGTTCCCTCAGCTCTCAGGTTAAGAGAGCAACTTCTGCTGTTGTTTCTGTTAACAGAATTGGCAGCTCAGAAAGTTAAATACAACAATGTTCTGTTTCGTATTCGTAAGACAAGTTAACGTTCTGTATTGTTAATGACACAATGAAATAGCTGGCGTTAGCACAGAGAGGGCTCAGTGGCTGCATAACTCCATGTTTAAGCTGCGCTCACGCTCAGGGGAGCCGACACGGCGCAGCGGCTGGTCCGGAGCACAAGCCCATCGCAGGGAGAGGAGAGGAGAGCGAGGAAACGCAACGATTGCCAACCGCTAACCCGCATCTCACAGGAAGGCCTCCAACAAGGTTGAGGACAGTTTTTCAGTGAAGGATTTGTAGGTTTAAGAAGTTGTGACTAGGTTTTATGAAGTTATTTAAAATGTCCAACAGTGTTGAAAGGTTTTATGGTCAGTGCTTTCCCCAGAGTGCCAAATATAGCTGGATAAATACACTTTGGTGGACACAGCCGGCTTTTTTCAGCCGTTCGGGTGCTGTTCAGCCCGCATGTTTTCCTGCAGCCCAGTGGCGCTGCTGGGTTGCGCTGTTGACATAACCCAATAAAGAAAGGCTCTGCCCAGTCCTGTTTGCCTGCTCTGTTTGTGTGACAAAGCTGGAGCCAAACACCACACCAGGTAACGGGCTCCCGAAACGCCAGCACGGCATCCACCGCACTGGCAGTGCTCAGCACATGGAGCTGACCCAAGGAGGATATGGGGTAGTTGAAACCCCCAGAGCTCAGTCTTGTTTTGTTAACAAGGCCTTTGTGGCCAAGCCCTTCACCAGAACTGGTCCTGTTCAAGCAACATTTAACATCACCAAATAACTTTCTGGATGTTTAAAGAGCCATCAACCCCACAAACTCACCTAATCAGACACTCAGAGGATGTCTTCCAGCTCTCCTCGTGCTGCCAAGCACGTGGTGTCTGCCACAGCCATCACCAAAGGAGCCGTCAGTGCCCAGGTGGAGCCCAGCCACACGCACAGCTCCGAGCCCCAAAACCAGGAGCCCCAGCAAACACCTCCCAGCAGGACCAGACCTTCCCCTGCCTGCAGGTACAGATCCCATCTGATCCCATCGGGCTTTTCTTCCCTCTGGGCTGATCTAATCAGCCCATACCCCAAAGCTCGTTAGTGAGAGGCTGCTGCCCTAGAAACCAGGTGGCACAGCCAGGCAGCAGCAGCAGTGATCTGTCACATGTGGGCACGGGCAAACAGTGCCCCTGTCACCCGTCCTGGCCAAGAAGCAGGGTTTGGTAGCCGTGGGTACTGAAGCCCTGTGCACGGTGGCCTTGCCCTGCGAGCAGCCCCTGCTGTCACCATGCGTGTCCTGAGGCCACCTACCACGGCCAGGGCAGTTCCTTGCCTCTTCCCACACGGAAGCTCTGGGGATGCGTTACTCGGTGTGTTGGGGTGGTTTTAAGCTAAATTTCTCATTAATCGCACTCCGTACAAACAGCAGCATCCTGAGCAGTGTCTGAACGAGCCCTCGCCGAGGGCTGAGCTGCAGCTGAGACCAGGCAGGGAGGAGCAGCAGCGTACACAGGCACAGCGGTCAGTAACGGTGAACAACCATCCCGGGGCACAGCCCAGACTGCGAACCCCATTTCCAGTCATTAGGAAATTACCCGTGGTGGGAGCAGCTTTGCAAAGATCCCGTCCCAAAGGCTTTGGGTGCCCTTTTACTGGAAAAAAGGCGAAGAGGAGAAGGTGTCACAGGCCCTGTTTCCATCCATATTGTGTTAACAGTGTCCATTAACCGACCCTGTACCAGCTCCAAGGTGCCTCGTTAACCTCCCACAACCCCCTCCACAGCGACCTAAGGACTGAGCGCTCATGGCTGAAGTGGAAACACTTGTAAAAGTTTATTTGTTAATTAAACGCATTGCTGTGTACATTCGGGGGAAGATGATTTCTAGGAACACCTTTTCCT